TTCCTAAGCACATGCATCTTTATGATAAACCCCTGCATTACACAAAATAAATTTGAGTTTTCTTGAACCAAAAGAGCCTATCAAGAACATTCCCAGTGAGTCGAATGGCCAAGCAATATCTCCATGGTAATTCATTGACATTTAGGACAGTTTTTCCTCATCCAATACTTTTTCATATTGTCATTTAGAGCACCAGGGATGTCTTGGATAGCTTCCTGAAATACCTTCACTGTGTCTAAACTTTAAGTTCCAGCAAAGGAAGCCTCAGGGGACCCAGGAAGAATCTTTGGCCCTCTCCTAAAATAAGAACCAGGCAGAAAATGATCAATTCACTCCTATAGGGAAGTAGAGAAACCTGTTTCCCAAGACAACCGAGTAGGCATTACCAACAACCCTGGGCAGAATTATGCCTTCTGAGTCTTCACTTGGCCCAATTCCAGTCATTTAAACACATGCTCTGTGGCAGAGAATTCTGGGAGTGCTTGTTAGACAGCTGGGGTTGAGTCTCTCACAAGAATGCATTCTCTCAGTTTCTCTCTTTGGAGTTAGACAAAATAATTTTTACAACAGAATACAAATTCTTGCTCACAGATTCAATTTCAAATTTGGTGGGGGAAATGCTTTAGAAATGTATTTTTTTCTTTGGTTGCAATGGTACTGCTAAGGAAAGTTGAATCTTTTGGGAAGAAACTTGCTCCTTTATTTGGATAAGCCCTAAATGGCCAACCAACTTCTGAACACTCTTTGCATCAATAGTTTATCCAGTTGTAGGTCTATTTTCTTTATGTTACTCTGGGAATCCCAGCAGTTTTTGGAGAATAAGTCTAATTGTTCAAATACCACTGTCTTGTCCTTGAAAATTAGCCACTCCCTTTTAAAAAACCATCTTCTAGGTTAAAATTATTTTTAAACTATTCTAGTTTACTTTTTAACCAATTTGTTATATATATATATATATATATATATATATATATATATATATATATATATATGAAATATGGGTCCAAATGATTATCTCCCCCCAAAATGTAAATTTTCAATAGCATTTAGTAAATAAAAATTATTTTCACACGGTTTTTATTTTACCTGGCTTAAACAGATTTGGGCTACAATTCTGACATGTATTTTTTCTGTTCCCACCATCTATTCTGTTTTCTCCTACTCTCTTGAAATATTTTATTATAAATTTTTAACTTTAACTATATTTTCAATTCCATTAGGACAAGTATTTCCATTAAGTCTTTTTCCTTTTTCCTTTAAATCACAGCAGCACTCAACTCAGCTGACATTAGAATTACCTGGACTCTTTCCCAGAGATTCTTATTTAATTCATCTGCATTGGAACACTTACCTGGATTTTCAAAAAATAAATTAAGTGATTATAATATGCAGGCACGATTGAGATTACTGCACACATTATTTGATCTTCTTTCCTATTTATTCCTACTTATTATTTTTTTCTCTTTAACATGAAGTCTACCTAACCAGCAACAGGATATCATTTATTCAAGTCTTATTTCCAACAGTGAAGTGTTGTCGTTGTCTTTGTATAGGTCCTGTGTGTCCCTTATTAGATTAAGTCTTAAACATGTGATGTATTCAGACTTTCTATACCAAAATCAGGATAAAGTAAAAATAACCCTAATCAAGCTGATTATGACGTTTTGTATATTTTTGTCCAGCTGCTGTGTGTATACAGATATAGATATTTGTGTTCATGCTCACATTGCTCAGAAAAAAATTCTTGTTATTAGGCCAGTGGGATCATCTCTGGTAGTCCCTATCATCCAAGACCCCTGTCATTAATACTAGCCAGTCAGTGGAGATTTTTTAGTTTACTTATTGAACTAAATGTCTATGTGCTAGGTACTAAAGGCAGATGAATAGGATAATTTTTTTTATTATGAAGCACTTAGAGTTGGCAGTGGTTATAAACAAAAAAATCACTATTTCAAGCTTCCACTTATCTCCTTCAGGGGTCAGAAGAGTTAAGGAAATTAATTCTGAGCTTGTGTTAGTAGAGTGTCGGGATTAAGAGCGTTAGTCTTGGAGGCAAACAGCCTGGGATCATATCCTCATTTTCCTAACTAGCTGTGAGGCCTTGGGCAAGCATCTTAACCTCTCTACAGTCCTATTTCGATAAAGAGAGGATAATGACAATATTTACCTCTTGAGGTTGTTATGGAAATTAAATGAGTTATATGTATAAAGTCTTTAGTATACTATGTGGCATATGATAAGCACACACACACACACACACACACACACACATATATATATATATATATATATATATAATTATTATTATTTGGGGACAGAGGGATTGGCAAGTGACACTAGTAGGGTGGTGAGCAGAGTGCAGAACACAGAGGGAGACATTATTTAGGGCACCTTTAAAACAAGTTTCCTCTTTTTTTCCCTCCCCCTTTCCCTCCTTTTTCCTTCCCCTCTCTTCCACTTCTCTTCCCCGTCCTAAACAATTCAGTCCAAAATCCATTAGGTAGGGCCAAGGAAGGAATACTGTGAACAACTGTAATAAGTTAGATAATATAGAGGAAGTGGACATATTCCTAGAAAGACACATTACTAAAGCTAACTCAAGAAGAAATAGTCAATCTATGACAAGAGATCAAATTAGTAATCAAAAATTTTCTGAGGAAAAAAGCTCAGACCCATATGGCTTCACTGCTGAATTCTACCAAACATTTAAAGAAGAATTAATACCAATTCTATGCAAACTCTTCCAAAACATAGAAGAGGGAGGAACACTTCCCAATTCATTCTATGAGCCCAGTATTACCTAGATAGCCAAACCAGACAAAAACATCACGCGAAAACTGTAGACTTACATCTCTATGAACATGGATGCAAAAATCCTCAACAAAAGAATAGCAAATCAAATCTAGTACATAAGAAAGAATTACACACCAAGGCCACATGGGACTCATTCTAGGAATGTAACGTTGGTTTAACATCTCCAAATCAATTAATGATTAATGTAATATACTGTGTTGATAGACTAAAAAACAAAACCATATGATCATCTCAATAGGTGCAGAAAAACAAACATTTGACAAAATCCAATGTCCTTTCATGATAAAATATACTCAAGAAACTGGAAGAGAATTTCCTCAACTTGATAAAGGGCATCTACAAAAACCCCTTAGCTACCATAATACTAAATGGTGAAAAACTGGATGCTTTGCTCCTTAGATCAGGAACAAGACAAGAATATCCACTCTCACCACTTCTGTTTAACTTTGTATTGGAGGTTCTAGCCAATTCAATTAGGCAAGAAAAAAATAAAGGGTATTCAGATTGGAGAGGAAGAAATAAAAATATCTCTGTTGCAGTTGACATGATCTTATAGTATTTGAAAATCCTAAAGAATCTATCAGTATACAAGTTCAGTAAGGTTGAAGAATGTAAGACCAATATACAAAATCAATTGTATTTCTATACATGTGCAATTAAAAAGCCAAAATGAAATCAAGAAAGCAATTCCATTTATAATAGCATTCATAAGAATAAAATACTTAGGAATAAATGTAAAAAAAAAGAATTTCAAAGCTTATACTCTGAAGACTATTAAAAATTGTTGAAAGAAACTACAGAAGATATAAATAATTGGGAAAACATCCCATGTTCATGGATTGAAAGGCTTAATATTGTTAGGATAGCGCTCTTCCACAAACTGATCTGTAGATTCAACACAATCCCTATCAGAATCCTAGCTGACTTCCTTGTAGAAATTTATAAGCTGATTCTAAAATTCATATGGAACTTCTAAAATTTATATGGAACTTCAACGATCCAGAAGAACCAAAACATTCTTGAAAAGGAAGAACAAAGTTGGAAGACTCACACTTGTTGATTTCAAAACTTACTACAAAGCAACAGTAGTTAGGAAAATTTGGAACTGGCATGAGGATAGACATGTCGATTACTGGAATAGAATTGAGAGTCCAGGAATGAATTCATGTGCCTATGATCAAGTGGTTTCAACAGGGAACCAAGACCATTCAATGTGGGAAAGAATAATCTTTTCAACAAATGGTGCTGGAACAACTAGATAGCCATATGCAAAAGAATAAAGTTGAATGCTTACCTTATACTATTTATAAAAATTAACTCAAAAGAGACCAAAGACCTAAATGTAAAAGCTAAAACTACACCACTCTTAGAAGAAAACATAGGAGCAAATCATCACGAGCTTGGATTTGGCAAAGGATCCTTAGATCTGGCACCCAAAGCACAAAAAACAAAAGAGAAAAGAGATAATTTGGATTTCATTAAAATGAAAAACTTTTGTTCTTTGAAGGATATAATCAAGGAGTAAAAAGACAACCACAAAGTTGGAGAAAATATTTGCAAATTATGTATCAGATAAAGGACTTGTATCAGGAATATGCAAAGAACTCTTACAACTCAATAATAAAAAGACAAATAGGCCAATTAAAAAATGGGCAAAGGATCTGAATAGACATTTCTCCAAGGAAAATATACAAATGGATAATGGAATAATAACGATGCTTGACCTAATTAGTCATCAGGGAAATGCAAGGTCAAAATCACAATAACACTCCACACCCACTAGGATGACTAGACTCAAAAGGTAATAACAAATGTTGATGAAGATGTGAAGAAATCCAAACCCTCATACACTGCTGGTAGGAATGTAAAATGGTGCAGCTGCTTTAGAAAACAGTCTGTAGGTTCCTTGAACAATTAAACATAGAATTACCATATGAACCAGCAATTTTACGCTTAGGTATATCCCCAAGAGAAATGGAAATATATGTATACACAAAAACTTGTACACAAATGTTTATAGCAGCATGTTATGTTCATAATAGTCAAAAGGTGAAAGCAACTCAAATATTCATCAACTGATGAATGGATAAACAAAATGTAGTGTATCTATAAAGTGGAATATTACTTGGCTATAAAACTGAATAAAATATTGGTAAGTGCTACAATATGGATGATCCTTAAAAACATTATGCTAAGTGAAAGAAGCCAGTTACAAAAGGATATATACTTCCATATATATGAAATGTCTAGAACAGGCAAACCTATAGAGACAGAATGTAAGTAAATCAGTGGTGACTTAGGGGTGGAGCATGGAGGAGAATGGGGGATGATAGCTAAAGGGTATGGAGTTTCTTTTTGAGATGATGAAAGTGTTCTAGAATTGGCTGTGGTGATTATTGCATATATTTTTTAATATACTAAAAATAATTGCATGGTATACTTTAATTGGGCAAGTTGTATGGCATGTCTATTATATCACAATAAAGGTGTTGTTAGAAAAGAGGAAAATGGCAGTTAAATGAAATGTATGGTTTTGGACTAGTAAAGGACACTTTGGGGATGACTAGGGAAATGTGAATGTTGTTTGGGAATTAGATGCTAGCAAATATATCAACGATAATTTCCTGATTTTCATGACTGTATTTCAGTTATTCAGGGGAATATACTTGTTTGTAGGAAAGGCAAACGAAAGTATTTGTTGGTGATGGGGCATCACTATAGGTAACTGACTCTCAAATATCCAGGAGAAAAGCTTCCTTGCAACTTATCTGTAAGTTTGAGGTTGTTTCACAACATAAACACATTTTATAAAATACCTGATTTCAATTTAAAATACAAGGGTGGAGGTGAAATGTTGGATTCTCAGCAACCACAGGGCACTGATGCCCCATGGTGTAGCCACCTATGGTGGTGGTGGTGGTATTATCCTGACTTATTTTTACAAGATTTCCAATTTGTATGGAATTTCTACTCTAAAGCAATGACATTGATTTTGAGAAAGAAAAGGTAATTACTATTTAATATAATAGACAAATTATTGAAGAAATTTAAAAAGGAATGCATCTTTACTGATCGTTGCATTTATTAGCAGGGATCATTGATTGGTAGCCAGTGGAAGGAATCAGACCACTTTGGGAACATGCTGCTAAAAGCCCGTCAGCTCATCATCCTTGCTTTTGTCAGTCTGGTAACCAGTAAGTGTCAAAGACTGGCTTCGTTGAGGAAGAGGTTTGAATATTTTCATGTGAATATAACTATTGTGACCGACTTGTACCTGAAAGATAAAAAAAAGAAAAAGGAGATTCATTCACATGGAGGTACAATACATGCAAAATCTACAGACCTCTGAAGACTTCACTGAAATAAGCTTTTCTGGAACGGTATTCCTAGACCAGCATTCTTAGACCCTTGGTTTTCATAAAGCTACCACCTTATTTTATGAGAGAAAGGGGCAGGCTAAAGGCATGGCAAAAGGCATAGGTCCCAGGTTTATTTTACTTTATATTTCACTATAACCTGGGCACAAATGCAAGTCCAGAGTTGCATTTCAATTTCAAAGATACACAGGGCAAGAAAACAAGTGACAGCCTTTTTGGTTATTCTGACTCTGAAATTGGGACAACTTTCTTTGCCACATGGTTTAAAAAAGGAGAAGAAACTCAGACTTGCCCTAGAAAATTTTAGATTTGTGGTTCTCATATCTATATTACACCTTTATAAATAAATGCCCACTGGTAGGACTGAGCAGGGCCCAGCAGGTGGCCCTTCTGAAGGAAAGGGATCTTGCTGGGAAGTTATTGGTATGAAGATTGAAGTGGTAGTATGGTCATGAACCCGGGACCTGGAAAATCGTGGTAAGAATTTTCACTATTGTCCTGGGTTGAGACAATAAAGGTTTTGTCTTAGAATAATTTTTATTGTGCTCTAATGTCCCTGCCTAACCTAATTTTAACAAATGCCATTTATCAAATGTGTACTACGAGTTAGATGCTATGATGAGCATTTTATATATGTGATTATACTTACTTCTTATTACGGGCCTGAAGAAAGGTGGGACAATGATGATTTTACAGATGCAGAAGCAGATTAAGAAAGATTAAATACTTTTCCCATAAATCACTCAGGTAATAAGTGGCAGAGCAAAAATTCAAATCCAGGCTCCAACATCTGTGTTCCTTTCATTCCACAGTGTAAACTTTTTTAAAATTTTTATTGGGGAACAGGACCCATGAGCTCCAAGTCAAGTGTTTGTTTCAATCAGTTGTGGAGGGCACAGCTCAGCGGCCCATGTGGGGATCAAACCGGCAACCTTGGTGTTGTGAGCACTGCGCTCCAACCAACTGAGCTAACCAGCCAGTCCTATGATGTAACCTTTTAAAAACATTTGCTCTATGCTTGATCAGGGTACCAGCATTTGCATACATTATTAGAGGCAGCGCAGCCAATAGTTAAGCATCAGACTACCTGGGTTCAAATCCTGGCTCTGCTTTTATAGTTGTGTGACCTTTGTGAGTTACTTCACCTCCCTGGGCTCAATTGTTTCCTTAGTAACACAAGGGCAATGAGCCTACATATGTCACAGATTTGTTAAGACTGAATGGAATAATACACACCCAGCTCTTAAAACAGTGCCTGGCACATTGTAAGTGCTCAGTAAATTTCTACTTCATTTATCCACACGTGATACCCTGCAAAGTAGGTTATTCTCTGCATTGTGCAGATAAGGGAATGAAGGCTCAGAGAGGATAAGGAGCTGCCATCACACAGGTTTTGATGAATAGAACAAGTCCAACTAAGGTTCAAACCCAGGACTGTCTGACACCAAAGTCTGCAATCCTTCCTTTTTACCACCTATCTCTTGACAGGTACTTGAGAAAGAAAAGAGAAGGTCACATCATCAGCAAGACCTTAAATGTAGTGGCTCAGAGCAAAGCAATTAACAGCTAGAATGACAGGAAGTACTGAGGCAGCTGGGGTCTGTGGCTGTGATCCAGTAGGGAAAATTTGATAGCAGAAAGGAGAAGGAGGAGGGAAAGATAGTTTTCTGATGAGCTTTTAAAGAAATACATGAGCTAATTAATATGTGAAAGTTATGCATTTGGATTAATCATAAATTATTAAAATAATGATCTCAATTTCGATGGAATGTTTCTTACCTTTGAACAAAATCATTTTTTTTTTAAAATTGGGAAACGTTCTTTTCCAGCTATGAAGATAGTAGATTGAGAAAGGAGGAAACAGTGCCATACTTTCTAAGCACAAGGCAGGCTCTCATTCATGTGCACCACCCCAGGGCCCGGCATATTCCTGGAGCTCAAATTTGGTAGAACTGAGCTGATCCATTTACACAACCCAGTATTGTAATTTTCTCATGCCAAGCTGGTTAGCACCACTTATTACTTTGCTAAAAAATGTTTATATCTTAAGTAGCTAACTGTTTGTTAAAGAGAAATAAAATGGACTGTGCCCTGATCAAATAATTTAGTAAAGATTAAATAAATACATCTGAATGTCTGTTGTTTTTATTTATTAAATCAGAATTATCATTTTCTCAATACAAAAGGATGATAATGGCTCCCAGCTATCTATGGTTGACTTGTTGAATTGGTTCCTTCTCAATAACTACACAAGTTTTTTCTTCAATTAGAACTGGATCAATACATCATTTAACTTTTTGATACAGGTATAACATTACTTTAAAAGATATTTTTAATGTTCCACTGCTTTAAACTATACCTACAGTGTCACAAGTTGAATCTACTTATTTGAGTTGCAAAAATTATTATTTTTTGTTTTTTTTTTTAATTGGGGAACAGTGTGTTTTTCCAGGACCCATCAGCTCCAAGTCAAGTAGTTGTTTCAATCTTGTTGTGGAGGGCACGGGGATCGAACTGGCAACATTGGTGTTATGAGCACTGCACTCCAACCAACTGAGCTAACCGGCCGTCCCGCAAAAATTTGTTAAATTCTATTAATCAAAATGCTTATTTAAAGGGCACAAGTGGTTTAAATTATTTTCCCAGCTAATGATTGAAGTCATTCCTTAAATCCATTTAATTTAGCTATGTAGAATCGCAAAGCTTCAAGTTAGCATCTGGTCCAGCCTGGGCCTTTCAGGCTCCTACTTCACATATGAAATGACCACAGCCACAAGCTAAATATAATCTGAACTTTTATGAAGTCTTTCTCTGGAATTTAAGTTAATTTCCAGTTTCTGGAAATTAAGAATCAATAGAAGAGGAATTTCTAAATTAACAGGAAAAAGATAATATAAATATACCACCATCTGCTAAATGTGGGAGTCTACCACTTGGGAAGTATACTATGTAGGCATCTTGATTTAGGACAAGGAGAAGGAACAAATTATATGGTAGAGGTGATAGGGAACATCACAAAAGTAAGAAATACAATGTCTTTCAGTGCCAAAATGGATATTAAACTCTAACCTTAATGAAGTAATTTATTCCAGCGACCACTTGAGTTTTGTATTCTATAGCTTTAAATTCTTCATAAGTCTCATTTGTTTGTTCTTCAAGCTGTGGTTTAACCTTAAGGAGAGAAAAGAAGAAACAAATTATCAAGGCTACATTGGACTCCATTTATGTGATTTACAAATCTGGGAACCTCAGGTTCCTAAAAGTCCTCAAAGATGATAATGAGATCTATGAGTTATTTTCAATATATCACAGAAAGGAAAACTCCTATCTTTAATAAGATTTCATAAACTAACTAAAATGTGAAATTTTGTTGCTTTAGGCTGAATTTTTTACATCAGCTCAGTGTGGTAATATGGTCAAATGGCAATATGGTAATGTTTTGACTGCTAAAGCGCTAATAGTTATACATGTCTTCGATTAATCAACATGGGAGAGCAATAATGACTACTACATTAAAAAATTTTTATTTTGAAATACGTGTAATTTCAGATTTAACATTGCAAAAATAGTCTCATATATCTTAAGAACTTTAATCACGTTTGCAAGTCCCTTTGCCATAGGGTAATATATTTATAGGATTCAGGGATTAGGATATGGACATCTTTGAGGGCCATCGTTCTGTGTACCACAGAGGGATATACGCTTTGATGCTAGCTTTCCTGACCCAAGGATGAGAAGGGAGGGAGGGAGTCTCAAATTCAATATGTATACTTACTGAATCCACCAGTTTTCAGTGTAGGCCCTCATTCCTACCCTCAATTGGGCCTGATACGCTAGTGTCCACTATGGTCTCTCTGATTCAATTTCTGCTAAGAGTAAAGCTCCAGTCTCTGTCCAGGGAGGACAGGTACCGCTTGTCTTCCAGGGTGGAGAATAGTGAGAGAGAAGGATCTGGGGGGTAGATCCTTGACTGCTCTTCATACAGATCTCCCATCAGTCCTCCTGGTTTTAGCCCCATGCCTCACTCTCATCTTCATAAGTTTGTGGTGCTTGAGGCGTTTTGGAGCTCTGCAGTGAAAATCGGCTTGCCTCTGGCTCACGTGTTCCCCTCTGTGTCTTAGGCTGTCTAGATGGCTCAGTCATTTTCCAGTGTTCACCTGTTTTACATCTTCCCCAAAGTTTTGTTGCGATCTCTGAGGTGATGTGTGTCTATCTCCTGTTGTCTTTATGTTTGTGGTTTTGTGCCCTCCCCACCCCCAATCCTCTTCTATGGTTTAGAGGGAAAAGGAAATAAAATGTGTTTTGCTATACTTGATTGGGAAGTTACTTCCCTGCCCTTCACTGAAGCATTTTATGTCCATATACAGCTTCAGTCAGGCCTCCAGTGCATCTAGGCGTCTCTCGAGCCCATCCAGTCTTTCCCACCAATGGGCAAATGTTTTGAATCCTGTTCTATTGGTGCTTCAGTTTGGGTACCAGAGCTGTTTTTAAAGACATAGACATTTGCAGACTAGGCATTCTCAGACCACTTTCGATGGGCAATGACTTCATGGACCACTGACCCATTTCTCCTGCAATCTTCAGAATAGATGGGAAGAATTTGACTGCTTTCTTGAGATGGGAAATGAAGCTCCAAGTGGAGAAAGTAAGAAGACAAATAGTGAGAAAAGACCAGAAACAAGAGGTAGAGAAGGGTGGAGAAAGAAGTTGAGCAAGGAATGGGGTTACTGTCCTCTTGCTGCCCCTATCTGAACCCTTTCAGCCACCACTGGGCACTAGTCAAGTTAGGAGCTGAGTTGGAAAGGGTTGATCTCCATACTAAACCCAAAATTATCTATTTAAACCTCATTTAACAAATGAGGAACCTGAGGCTATGAAGAAAACATGACTGCTTAAGGCTGAAAAACTACTAATTATGGTTATTTAAAGTTTTAAATCCCTTGCCTGATAACTTAAGTATCTGATTTATCTGTTGCAATTGTCTGTATTCCTTCGGTTTCCGGTCTTTTGGTCATGTTTTTACCACATATCAGAAGTTTTTATTTCTATCTGTCCTAGAAATAGATCTAAATCTGTAACCTTTCCATTGTATCTATGCAGTCCACAAGTCCAGAATTTTTCATGAGGAGGTTTCAAATCTCCTGGTTTGTTTCTGTCATTGCACTGGCACCTGTCAGACCGTGTGCCCTGATATCAGTTTCACTACACAGTCATCCCTTGGAATCTGCAGGGGATTGGTTCCAGGACCCCCTGCAGATACCAAAATCTGGAGGTGCTCAAGTCCCATATATAAAATGGCGTAGCACGTATTTGCATATAACCTATATTGGCATATAAACTACAGCAGGCGTGCCTACATATACTTCATTCATGTAGATTTGGCATAGGGCTTGGTGCATGGCAAATCCAAATTTTGCTCTTTGGAACTTTCTGGGATTTTTTTTTCCCCCCCTGAATATTTTTGATCCGCAGTTTGTTGAATCCACGGATGTGAAACCTGTAGATATGGAGGACTCTCTGTATTTATAACCTGTAGTCTTGCTCTCCGTTTCCAGTAAAACAGATTTGTATTGTCCTAATGTTGGATGCCATGATTTAAGCTGAGGAGCAGGAAAAGGGAGAGAGGGGAAGGAGTTGGATAGCGAAACCTTAAGTTTCAGAAGGCAGATTGGTGCTGAAAGACTTCCCACCCTCCCTTCCCCAGGATGGGCGCTAAGAGGGTGAAGGCCAGCTGTGGGTGGTGGCCGGGAGCCTGGTGGTACACAGACAGACCTGCGTGTTCACCATTCTCAGCCTGCCATGCGTGCATGGTGGTGGCTGAGGCGCTGGAAGAGTCAGTGTAGGTTGATTGCTTGGGCCCCAACCCTGGGAAGGATACCCCAGAGATGCTCAGGCATTTCTTATTGCTGCAGAACTTGACTCTTGATGAGCTGTTAGTTCTCTGGGGTTTTAGGATTTGAGCCATGCTGCAGCCAACACCCAGGCATTTCCCCTATCTGTAATCATTCTGCAGAAACAGTTGGGCTAGGCATGATTTAGGAAAGGATGGATAAAAAGGTAATGATGACAACATAGGCCATATTTTGGGAAGTTTTACAGAATAAGGAAAGAGAGTTTGGGTAGCAGCAGGAGAGTACAGTAGAGCTGCTGAGAGTTGACTTGTGGACATTTGTCATCTATGTTTTGAGGCAGGGGGAAGTATGGGGCAAGGCACCCCATATGGTAGAAGTGATGGCACCTGGCATAAGAGAGGAAGGCTGGCTTAAGAAAGGAGGACAAAGCGTTAGACTGGAAGGAGGACTAAGATCAAGAGAGGATAAGTGAGTCAGGTGTTCTTACACAGGATGACTGCAGTCTTCTAAGAGAGGAGAGACACCAGCTGGAGGGGCCATGGGGGTGGAGATTAGAAAACTGGGGAGACAGAGGGTCCAGCTCAAGCTCTGTGCGGTTTCTAGAAAAGGACCAACAGGATATGACTGAGAGAATGTTCTGGCAGCCCCAGGGTCCTGTCGCAGTTATTTGCTGGCATGAATTATTAGATTTACAATGGGTAAGCTTTCTGTGGTTTTGCATCTTCCTTGAGCAAAGTTTTCTGAACGTGGAGCAGAAGCTGAGGAGGAAGTGGCAGCGGTGGGAGTGACCTCTAATTGAGGATTATTATGCCATAAGTCCATGGGGTCATGGAAATCTGGAGTGGAGGAGTATATGGAACTGCCCATCATGAGTCCAGGCTGGGTGGGTGATTGAATAGGCCTATATATGTTCTGATGGAGATGGGAGAGTACTGGTGTGGTTAAATGGCAGGTTCTCTGGGTGTGGGGCAGTGGGAGAGGTGACTGATGAGAAGGCTATAATCAGAGACTAGAATATAAATTTGTGGGTGAGTGAGAGCCATGCCATGCTAAGCCCTGGGGTGTGTCCTTAATGGTATGCAGATGGGGTGTTTTGTGTGGTGTCCTGGCAGACAATCATGATCTCTGTGTATGACAGGAATGGTATTCAGTAATCAGGTTTGACTTAGGGGTGTGTGTGTGTGTATGTGTGTACTTTATGTGTATGCACCTGTGCATGTGTAATAATAGCCCTTACTTCTAAAAATAATTATTGCAATAACATTCCTTTCCTGTACATAAACATAGTCAGAATTCTCATCCAATGGCTTTTTTACATATGATTTAAGATAATGGATCCGCAATAATGGTCCAAAAGCTTTTGCAGGTAGGGCCATTCATTTGGTCCTTAATTATATGTATTATGGCTTTTCATGTATGGGGTCATGTATGGCTCTTTATTTCCTTGTGTGCATCTCTTACCTCCAATCTATTTTGTCAGTTTTCCTGAAGGCAGGGACTATCTTTATATTCCTTCTATCCTTATAGCAATTCACATTGTACTGTGTACATAATGTTTTCTGAATGAAGAGATTCATGACAACTGGTCTCCCCAAATAGGAAAGAGGATAGAAGAGAGGTATAGCAAAGATGCTCAACTAATATAGAGAATCTGGGAAGAGGAGGTTTCTTCCAGGTGTACCCTGGACCCAAGTACCATTAGCATCCTTTAGTGCATGATTTCACAATTACCACCCAGTCTCTGTTATTTTCAGAATGGGGACATGCTTTTCTTCTGTCTTCAAATGTTCAAGTCATTTCAAACCCAAGCTCTTGGTTTGATCTTCTTCTCTTTCTGAGCTCATCCAACATTCCTCTTTAATTTTGATGTCAAATTCCTTGAACCCGCAGTTATAATTTTTCTTTAATGCTTTCCCCTCTCTGTGTGATAACCTCTCCCTCCCTCCGCCTGTCCCTCCCTCCCTAATGGGTTTCTTTCTTCAGCTGGCATTCCACTAAGACGCTCTCTGATAAGGACAAGGAAAGCTGATAAACTTCAGCTCCTCCAAGAATACCTGTATTTTAACAGGTGATTTTTCAAAATAGAAGTATATTAAAAAATCCAAGGAATACAACTGTAAGGTAAATGATAGGTAGTGGTGATCTTTCCTGGGACTCCCTCAAATCATACTAGGTATGTGATTACCAACACCTACCCATTTGCCTGGCCCTGCCTGGGGACCTAACTAATTCTGTAACATTGGAGAAGGTGTTGATGAAATTTCCTCCCTGAAAGTAGTTATAGTAATACCTGCCTCTTGGGGTTGTTTGTAGGGGGAATAAATGATATAATTGATGTGAAAGTGGTTCCTAAACTATAAAGTGCTTCCTAAATTGACTATTCCTCTATCTTCCAACACTTAACTGGGAATTGTTCCCTAAGGCTCTCTCCTGTGAGAGAGGGAAGATAAACGATAATTAGGAGTTTAACACTGGCAAGCTAAGCGCAGTAATTATTCACCTGAAAGTAAGGAGGTTTGATAAGCAATTTCTAATGTCCTTCTAGGTCCAAACCCTATGATTATGAAAAAGTACTTAATTGGAGATTGTTTTATATGCCCCAGATATCTTGACTTCCCTAAATGGACAGTATTCTCCTTGAGGGCAGGGACCACATCTTACAGTCTTATGCATCTTCTATAACATTTAATACACTGCTGGACACCTAAGGGATATTGAAGAACGGATTCATTGATATTCATTTCTCAGGTTGGAGCCTGAGGTAAGCAGCAAAGAACACATTTTCAAATTAATTTTATGATATAAGATGTGGCTCACAGATGGGTGGTTTTAAAAACACAAGGCCTTTTGATAACTTCCTATTAAAAAAAAAATTCTTGCTCACCAAGATAGGCTTTTTAAAAACCATTAAAAATTTCTGCATTCTGTATATTTCAAACACTTGTTATTCTCCATCCCCCTTACAGCCCTGGTCCGTGGAGAGTTTCAGGGGGTATTTTCTAGGGTCAGGGATGATTTCAGGCAAAAATTTGAAGTAAGGAATTGTGATGTCTCACGTATGCACAGTTCTTTCTTGTTTTCAAGTCATTTCTATGCAAATTATCTTATTTAGTCCTTACAGCTCTGAGATCCTTAGGGCAAGAGGTGTTATTTTCATTCCTCAAATGAAATTGAGAATTTTTTTGCAGCACTCTGAGTTTAGAAACCCCATCTCCACGGTCCTCTTAGGATATCAGATTTCTCTCATCCTGAAGGTAAGCAAGGTCATGGACAAGCAAGCAGCATGGGCCTCACCTGAGAACAGGTTAGAAATTCAGAATATCAGGCCCACCCCAGACCTACTGAGTCAGAATCAGCATTTTAACAAGCGTGATTCATGTGCACATTCAAGTTTAAGAATACTGACCTTATACAGGGATTCAAATGAAGGTATGAATAACTTCGTGTTATCTTCTCCAAGACAAACAAACAAGCAAAAAACTCCAAGATATTTATTTTTTAAAAGAATTCTTGGAAGGGAAATATTTAGCCCCGAAGAATGAGTGGTAGTATTCCAGGCATCTGGTCTGTTAGACAGCTGTCCAGTGCCCTAACATAGAGGATCCCACCTCTTCCACTTCCACAAGAAGCTGATTTTGTTTGTAAACAGTGTCATAGAATGAAGTTTCAGCAAGAAATAGCAAGAAGGATCGATACAAGAAAATAAAGAATGATACAAACCTAAAATAGTAATTTATAGGTTTTTTCTTTTCATAAAATATGCAATATAATACATTTTTATTTTATAGGTGATAGCTAATCAAACAACACACAAAAAAATGTATCAATTTGCTAAAAACATTACGAGTTCTATTTTCACCATAATCAATTTTGGAATTGCCATAGACTATGCCACTTCTCTTTTATACTAGTTTAACCATCCTCTACATACTAAAAGACTAACACGTTGTCTGTTTAATCAGATTTGTAGGAAGTTGTAAGGGGAGTGGCTTTACAATGTTGTTCTTCATTCAACCCATTTAAAAACTTTTCCCTGCAGTGCATTTGAAGTCTAGTTCCTCAAATCGTTAACCTCAGACTTCAATTACATGTTGACTCTACTTGGTGAGATTAGAAGTTTCATCAGACACTGAATTAGTAATCCTAAAATCATACATTGTAAAAGCTTTAGAGATGATTTAATAAAAATCCTTCTTTTACCAATGGGGAAATAAAGCACAGAGGGGGGATGGGACTTGCTCCAGATCACTCTCACAGTTGGGGTTATTAGAGCTTTCATCCAAAAAGACTTATAGCGGTAAGAAAGCCTGAACAAAACTACACATTTCCCAGTGTTCTGGTTTCCATGTTTGTACACACACTTAACACAGGACCACCCCAGGAACTAAGATTTTGGATCAAACATTTTCATGTGGTGCATTAGCTCACCTCATTAGCAATCTCCTGGATTTCTGGAGTGGCAGGTTTGGCTTCAGTTAAACCTCCTGGCATCATTTTGGCTAATTACTTCTTTGCCGGGCAGGACACTGGAACTGAAGTGATCAGGTTAGCTTGGAGACTCTGGCTTTTATAGAGGGTGTTGCTCACAAGCTCCACCTACAGAATGTTTTTTTTTTCCCCCACAAAGAGCAAAAGGGCACAGGGAAAATGACTATGCCCTGAGGCAAGTCTTCCTGCTTCCTCAACAGAATAGCTAACAAAAATTTGAAAGAATGAGGGGCTGGGGATGAAATAATGGGTCTACACAAGGAGTCAAACTGTAGCAAGTATACAACTTCCCTGCATTCTTTTGGACTATGGTTCCATCCTGTTGCCACTGAAGTATGAAATCTAAAGCCACAGCCAGAGTTTCCCAATGTTTTAAAACCTCTCAGACAAAATTTTATTTTTTCAAAGGAGTATTTATTAATCATGTCAAGGCCGATTGCTTAGAATTTACTTGACTTTATAAAGAAAATAAAAGGATCTGTCTGGAGAAGTGTGCTGGTTATTTGTATTTTTTTGTTTATATTTCTAAACTGTTTAAAATACAGGAAAACACAGAATAAAACAACAAACACCTATATTCCTATCACCCATAATGAAAACTTTTAACGTTTTGTCATATTTGCTTTCTATCTTTTTTTTGCAGTTGTTTTTAAGAAATAAAATATGACAGGCCCCCACCTTTACTCCCATCCCTGACTTTATCCTCCACACAGGGGAACTACATTGTGAGTTTCACATCCTTCTAGCCAATTTTTATACTTTTACATAGTATGTTTTAAAAAATCTACCTAAATTGTATGTTAAACATATATTCTATGTTATACTTTTTTCTACGTAACATGCTTTTAAGTCATTCCGGGTTGATACACAAATAGATCAATCTAATTCATTTCCTTTAACTGCTATTCTCTGATAGATCTGTCTATCTATCTATCTATCTATCTATCTATCTATCTATCTATCCAGCTCATATATTCTGACTGCTATATGCTATTCCATATTTTACATACTTATTCCCCTATTGATGAAAACTTTTGTTGTTTTTAGTTTTTCACCCTTATAAACAGTATTGCACTTTTCTCTCTTTTGTACATGTGAGGGCTTCTGCAGGCTATTTATTTAGAAGCAAAATTTCTGTTTTGTGTGAATATTTGTTTGTGTTATTGTACCCAATTTTTGGAATATGTAACACATACTTATAATAAAAATGTTCCAACTGAACAAAAGAGCTTACAATATAAGGAATTCTTCGCCTACTCTATTCCTCAGCCACCCTTCTACTTTCCAAAGGTAACTACTGTTACCAGCTTCATGTATCCTTCAGAGATATTAATTACACATACAAATATATAAATAACTACACACACACACACACACACACAAATATATATATATATATATATATATATATATGCATATATGCTTTTCTTTTATAAATGGCACAAATGTACCCTACTGTATAAACTATTATATACTTTGCTTTACCCCTAACAATATATTTTGGAGATTGTTCTATATTATTACATAGCAAGGTGCTCCATTCTTTGTAATGTTTGTCAGGTTCTTGACAAATTCTTGGAGATAGGCAGGTGTCTTGCTGGATAATCTAGGGGGTGCTATGCAGATGGCTTTCCATGATATGCCTTTACCCATGAATTCAGAGGAATAGCAAATGTAGATGACATGGTGCTCACCCAATTTGTCTTCAAACTTTGCCTCAGCTCTGGCCACAGATAATCCTGGACATCTTCCTGTGAATTCCCCAAGTCAGGTCTTATCATACCCAGTTCATTTCTCTGTTCACAAACTAGTCCAGGTCATCCTTATCTAGCTTCCCCGGGGGTCAGACATAGGGCAAGGAATATTGCTTCTGTTCTCTCTCTAAAGTCTATGCCCTGTTACTCTCAAGTATTCTGTCTTGATGCTCAGTCATTTCTTTTAGAAGTAAAAATTGCCACAAAGCAAATATTGCTTTTGTCTTTTTATTCCTATTATAATATTCTAGTTCTTCTCAAGGTAGTATAGATGCCTCTGACTGACGGGAAGAGTCATGTACAAGAAGTGCAGGAAAGAAAAGCACAACAACTGATATCTCTGTGTTAATTGTTTAATTAATTAAACACACAATTAATTAAATGCACATCTATTTTTAAGTACCTTTTAGATTGCTCGACTGACTGTTGTTGGGGTATTTTTTGGTATTAGTTATTCAGGCTATTTTAATGGAACTCAACATTCTTATATGTTTTATATTTCTTGTCTGTGAGCTCATCTTCCACAGAAATTATCTTCTATGGGAAGTTTCCCTTACGGGGGGCTGGATTACAGGCTTCCTTCTGGGGTAGGTATCTCTACTGGACCCTATGGGGTACATAGGCCTCACACTAGGTCTTATTTTACTATTGGCTTAGGGCTCTAGGCTCATGAAGATACTGAGAATTTGGGCTTGTCTCCAGCTTTGGGCACAGGCCTGGGGCTCTGGACTTTGATAGCTATCTGTGCTTCCACCCGTGGCTGAGATGACTGTCTGGATACACTCACTTACTATACACCGCATAGGTATTTACCTAATAGAAGTGAAAAAAGTATGTCACACAAAGACTTGTGTACAAATATTCATAGCTGTATAACTCATAAGAGCCTAAAACTGAAAATGATCCTAATGTCCATCAACTGAAAAATAGATTAAAAAAACTATATGTAATACTATACAGTACTACTTAACAATAAAAATGAACAAAGTAGTAATACATTCAATAACGTAATAAATGACTCAAAACCAAGTCTACTGTGTTCCCCTGAAAATAAGACCAGGTCATATATTAATTTGCTCCAACAATGTACATTTATTCATTTATTCATGTACAAAAATCTACATTTATTCAAACAGTCATGTCTGGCTGACGATCTTAACTGGGGCTTATGTTTGGGGTAGGGCTTATATTATGAGCATCCTAAAAAATCATGCCAGGGCTTTTTTTCCTGTTAGGTCTTATTTATGGGGAAACACGGTAAGTAAAAATGCATCGAGTAAAAGAGGTCAAACACAAAAGACTATGTACTGTATTATTCCATTTATATGAAACCTAGAAGAGGCAAAATTATAGTGATAAAAAGCACATCAGAGATTGCCTGGGACTAGGGGTGGGGGTGGGTGAAAGGATCAATGCAAAGGGGCACAAGGAAATGTTTTAGGGATATGGAACAGTTTTATATCTAGATTATGATAGTGGTTACACAACTACCACAAATTTAAGTATATAATTACTAAAATCCATCAAATTGTGCACATAAAATGAGTGGACTTTACTGTATATGTTATACCCCAAGAAAGCTGGGATAAAAAAGCACCACCTTTTAAACACCTTTATGTCCCTTGGTCTTGCTTTTATACTGCTTTCTCTAATGTTTTTCATTTAGAGTCTTAACTACCATTGTATTAACATATTGCCTTGGAGGAGGTTGTAAAGTCCCCACTTGAAGTATGTGCCCAAAGGGAGGACAAAGTTACTTCTCCTGGTCATCCTCATGGTAAGGGAAAAGCAAGAGGTAAGCTTGATTGAAAATGAATGGGTCGTGGAAAGCAGGCGAAAGATTTTATACTTTGCATGTTGGGTAATAGAGGTCACTAAAAATTTTGAACTGTACAGAAACGATTTGTGTTTTAGGAAGATAAAACTAGAAGCAATGTGTAGGTTGAATTGGAGGGAAAGACGCTGGAGACAGAAAGATTGATTAGAAGTTATCACAATGGAACAATGAAAAGTTAATCCCGATCCAGTGTTGTGTCAAATGGACCGCAGAGGAATGGGATGGGTGTGACAATAAAAATAGTATTAGGAGGTAGGGAAGGCCAAGATAAAAGGAGTCAGGTGGATGATGGAGGTTTTGTTTGGAATAATTGTACTAATAGAATTTGGGAATACAGGAGGAAGCGCATGTTTAAGCAAATTGTCAACATTGAAAATATAAAGATATAACTGGGAAAAGAAAACCATCCCTCTTCTTTCCCAGGCAAATCCTGGGGCAAATGAAGGTCTTAGCGAAGCAATTTAATCAAGGCTTTATGAATGTAATGTGAAAATCAGAAATAATGAGCCTTCCTATTCCAGTGGCCTTAGTTATAGAAATTTAACTTTCAATCATATTTCATAAAAAGTCTTATGAAATGAAAAATGCTAGACTGAACATTACTGTCTCAGTAAAGATGAGGAAGGAGAAGAGGCTGGAGAACATTAACATACTAGTCATCTTTGGGGCACACAACAAAAAACAATGCTGGTTAGATGTAGGTCTTGCTTAGTTTGAATTGATGCCATCTTAGCCTGTTATCAATAATTAAAATTTTTGTCTTGTTACTTACTAAGAAGGGCACTTGATGTTCTTGAGCTAGGAATGCTCTTTCCCAGGTTCTTCACTGAGTCCTTTTTATTACATCTCAGCAGAAATGTCATGTTATAACAGAGATCGTTTCTTCCACCGCCCATCCCTCTAATCTCTCTTATGTCATCTTTGTTAATAGCACCATTCACAATCTGTGCTTCTTTTGGCTACTTTTGTACTTTTGTACTCTTTGTTGCCTGGAATAACTGCTGCATTCCCAGAGCTCAGAGCCTAGTACAATGCTTGGCAGATAGTAGGCACTCAATAAGTGCCTATGGAATGAATAAATAATTGCCTACTTACTTGTCTTTCTCTTCCATTAAACTGTTAAGTACTGTATGGAGGCAGGAGCCCTGGCTTGCCCCTTGTTGTCATCCTGGTGCCTAGCAGAAAGCCCAGCACACAGTAAATGCTCAATAAATATTTGTTGAATAAATGCATTCACTCTCCATCTGGATTGGTTTGTGGGTCTATCCAACATAGCTTTATTTAACATGGAAAATGGAAATTGTAGATGTTTTAGGGCCCCCTTGGGAGAGGATGGCAATGGAGCAAAGAGGCAGAGAAATGAGGCGCTGGCTCCTCGCCCCTGCTTTAACTGAAGCAACTCTTATTTGTCTTATAAACTATGGCTCTCTATAGAAATTAGTTAGGAGGTCTGCACCCTCTCAATTTTTTTTTTTAATAAACCACTGACTCAAA